GTTCAGTCGCTCAGTCGTCTCTGACTCTTTGCGACCCCATGAATCGCAGCACGCCAGGCCTCCCTGTCCATCACCAACTCCTGGTGTTTACTCAAACTCATGTCCATCGAGTTGGTGATGCCATCCAACCATCTCATCCTCTGTCGTCCCCTTCTCCTCCTGCCCCCAATCCCTCCCAGCATCAGGGTCTTTTCCAATGAGTCCACTCTTCGCATGAGGTGGCCAAAGTATTGGAGTTTCAGCTTCACCATCAGTCCTTCCAATGAACACCCAGGATTGATCTCCTTTAGGATGGACTGGTTGGATCTCCTTGCAGTCCAAGGGACTCTCAAGAGTTTTCTCCAACACCATAGTTCAAAAGCATAAATTTTTTTGGCGCTCAGCTTTCTTTATAGTCCAGCTCTCACATCCATACATGACCACTGGAAAAACCATAGCCTTGACTAGATGGACCTTTGTTGGCAAAGTAATGTCTCTGCTTTTTAATATGCTATCTAGGTTGGTCATAACTTCCTTCCAAGGAGTAAGTGTCTTTTAATTTCATGGCTGCAATCACCATCTGCAATGATTTTGGAGCCCCAAAAAATAAAGTCTGATACTGTTTCCACTGTTTCCCCATCTATTTCCCATGAAGTGATGGGACCAGATGCCATGATCTTAGTTTTCTGAATGTTGAGCTTTAAGCCAACTTCTTCAGTCTCCTCTTTCACTTTCATCAAGAGGCTTTTTAATTCCTCTTCGCTTTCTGCCATAAGGGTGGTGTCATCTGGATATCTGAGGTTATTGATATTTCTCCTGGCAATCTTGATTCCAGCTTGTGCTTCTTCCAGCCCAGCATTTCTCATGATGTACTTCTCCCTTCCTAGACCCTAGGAAGCCTCCAGCCTTGTTTTCCTCTGATTTCGCTACCTCTTCTAAATCTGAAAAGGACTCATCCCCTCTGAGATATTCGGGGTTGGGATGGTGTGGCAGAGGCCCTGGCTGTACACTGGGCACTCACACCAGGAAGTCATCGCTGGGTCCCTTCTCTGCCCCAGAGCTGGGGTGACCTAGGGGTGGATGGATGAAAACACAAGAGAGCTCCTGTTCAGGCCTTCTAGCTAGCTGGGCAGAGAGCAGGATGGCCTGCGAAATCCTGACCCCACAGTTCTGGCTCATAGTCCCCAGTTTGGAATGGGCATGGGATCCACTGGTGGACCACACTGCCACCCAGCCTTGGGTTCCTGGCTGGACAACTGGCCCTAGAAGAGTCTAACGGGAGGTGGGGGCTGCCACAGAGTTCTTAACCAGCCTCTCCAGTTGGGGAGGCAATTCTGTCGGTGAACAGCCAGTGGAAATCCTGCAGGGGGGTTCATCCTGCATCTACCTGAGCAGGTGCTGTCCAGGAAACCGCCCTCAAATATCTCTTCCAGCATGCCGCGCACCATCCACCCCACCACTCAAGCCATATTTGACTTGTCTTCTCCGATATACCACCAAGTTTCAATGTTTAGGAAAACCATGCTTAATACAATGAGCATTAAAACCCAAGTTGTAGGACTTCCCTGGTAGTCCAGTGGTTAAGAATCCTCTGCCTGCATTCGACTGACATGCATTCGATCTCTGGTCTGGGAAGATCCCACATGCCAGGAAGCAACTAAGCACGTGCACCCTAGAGCCTGTGCTCTGCACCAGAAGAAGCCACGGCAATAAGCCTGAGAACCACAGAGAAGACCCAACACAGACCAAAAAAAAGCATGATGAATGTATGTTATTAAGTGAAACGGCTGTTTTTCCATCTCCAAAACTGTGATTCAGTTGGAGGTGCATTTTGTGAGCCGCAATAGAAGAGAGGGGACGATGTATTTCTCTGGATAGCAACCTTGGCATCCCAGTGTGAAGGGGAGGTCATCCTGAGGTCCAGAATGTGGGTGAGCCGTCATACGCCACGAGCAGGAAAGCCAGCCAAACTGATGTCTCTCAGGAGAAAAGCCCCACATCCAACCTGGAGCCAATGAAGCAAATTTCTGTCATTTAGAGGAGATGCTTCACTCTCATTTCTCACCAGAAAGTATTCAGGAAGACTGAGGGCCAGGCTCAGAGCACTTTGCTATCAGTTTAATGATAAAAACAGAATTTTGTGGACACGTTGTTTGTCTCCTGGGCTGTCATGTGCCATATGCTGGTTCCCAGCACCCTGGTTGGGATCCAGGACAGGGTGAGGGGTCTGGGTCTAGCCAGTGGGTGTGTTGACTTCTATGGCTCTCCTGGCAAGAGGGACCCCAGGACTATGGAAGAACAGACAGGAGTGTGGATTCCGGAGCTCCAGGAAGAAGGCTGTGCAGGCAGGTGATGCCCAGGATAGCTGAGTGTTTCTATCTACACCAGCAGGCCCGAGGCCAGGTCTTCTACAGCTGCCCACAGGGGCCCTGCCAGGGCTAGGCTGGACTCTGTCTCTTTAGCCATGTCATATCAGCTTCTAAAGGCCCCACTTGCCAGATCCACACCCCCCCTTCCCAGGAAACTGCCGAGTGTGGTGTGGATTGTGAGCGTGAGGTAGGGGGAGAGCGTGAGGTGGGGGGTGAGATGGGTGAGCTTGATCCCAAAGCTAATTCAAGGTCCTGACCATGTCCACCTGTGTATGTCCATCAACACTCCCCTCTCCTCATTCTGGACATCCCCAGATTCCAAAACCATGGATCAAGGCCAACGACTCATTACACCAAATATCTGCCAGGGTCCAGAGTCAGTGTCAGGGAGCTGGACTCAGGTGTGCGACAGAGTGGAGGCCAAGAGGGTGCTCATGTGTCTGAGGGGGGGTGAGGGGATGAGCGTGTGTATACAGATGTCAGAAAGGATGGACAGAAATGTCAGAATTACCTGTGCAGGTGCAGATGACAATAACAAGGAAAACCGAGTTCGGTTTGGAAAGCTATTTGGCATTACCTATCAGTATTTTCTCTTATTTAGAATTTATTTTTGGTTGTTTGGGGCCTTTTCTGCTGCACAGGCTTTCTCGAGCTGCGGTGAGGGGGCTGCTCTTTCTTGAGCGCTCGGGGGTCTCGTTCTGGTGGCCTCGCTTGTTGTGAAGCAGGGGCTCTAGGGGCACAGGCTTCAGTAGTTGCAGCACTTGGGAGGCAGGGCTTTCTCGAGCATGAGCTCAGTAATTGTGGCACATGGACTTGTTGGATACACATATCCCACGTCCCATGGCAGGTGGGATCTTCCCGCACCAGAAATCGAACCCATGTCCCCTGCACTGGCAGGCACATTCTTATCCACTGTACCACCTATCAGTATTTCTAAATGAATGTGTTCTTTCACTCAACATGTCATGGTTTCGAGTTATAAATTTACCCTATAGATACATGCACACATCTACATGAAACATTGTTGTATAAAGATATTTATTGCAGCCCTGTTCCTGGGAGAAAAAAAAATGGAAATAACAGAAAAGTGCATGATTAAGGAACTGGTTTAATCAATTATAGCACGTCTATGTTATGAAGCACTTACTATGTGGCTGTTAAAAAGAGCAAGGAGGGTTTACAATACTGCTTACAAAAAGATTTCTAAGATGTATTGCTGAGTGAAACAGCAGTGAGTATAACACCCCACAGCGTGTATGAACGGAGTGGGGTGGGTATACACGTGTGCTTGCACACCCTCAGTCTGTGATGGAAAGGGCACACAAGACTGCTGCCAAGACTGCTCTGGGAAAGGGGAACCAGGGGACTCCGGGAGGAAAGCACACACCCTTTTGCAATGTTTAAATTTTAAATTATACGCATGCATTTCTAAATGTGCCAAATATTAACGTTTTCAAAAATAGGTTTGGGAATGAACTGTGGCTATAGGGTCTATTCTGTTGTTCAGTCCCTCAGTCATGTCTGACTGTGACCCCACGGACTGTAGCCCGCCAGGCTCCTTGGTCAATGGGATTCTCCAGGCAAGAATACTGGAGTGGCTGCCATTTCCTACTCTAGGGGATTTCCCGACCCAGGGACCAAACCTGTATCGCTTGCACTGCAGGTAGATTCTTTCTCACTGAGCCACTGGGGGACGCACCATAGATTCTATATATATTGTTTATATAACTAACCTGTCTTGTCTCCCAGGACTGGGGGCGCCAGCACTCAAAACGTGGAAGGAAGAGTGAACATTTAGGTGTAAAATCATAACGGTGCAAATGGCAATGTAGCTAGGAACAGAAAGGTGGCGCTACAGAGCACAGGCTAGGACAGCCTGTGAAGAGAGCAGGGTACTCAGAAAATGACGCTAATATGTATCTAGGCGCTTCCCAGGTGCCACTAGTGGTAAAGAACCCGCTTGCCAATGCAGGAGACATAAGGGATACGGGTTCAATCCTGGGTCCAGAAGATTCCCCTGGAGGAGGGCATGGCAACCCTCTCCAGTATTCTTGCTGGAGAATCGCATGGACAGAGGAGCTGGGCGGGCTACAGTCTATGGGGTCGCGAAGAGTCGGACACGACCGAAGCGACTTAGCACACACGCAAGCTGTTCCCTTCAAAGGAGTCAGCTGAGAGCCTGTGTACTCACAGGACTCTCTGCATTTGGGGCTTGAAAATGTGTCAGGATCGCCTGCTTGAACACTTGGCGTGGTGACACGTTACTCACTGGTAGCAAATATTTGTCTACAGAGGATGGATGTAAATATTGGAAACAGTTAAATATCAGTGGGCCACAAGTTTGGTGAAAGAAGTGAGAGATAAGTTAGGCAATTAATCTTTTGGTAAAAAATAAAAAAAAACCAAGGCCTAGAATCAAAGCAGACTGCTACTCTGATGTTTCTGAAAAATGGACTCTGACAGCTAAGCCCAAAAAGGATGCTCAAAAGATGTGTGTCTTGGCAGCATCCTAGGATCAAAGCTTGGGACCCAAAGGGACTACTTTGAGGAAACCAACGCTCACTTCTTCGTAGGTTCTGTTTGTCTGCTGGCGACAGCGGCCTGGCCCGGGGCTGGGAGAGCGCCGGGCCGGGAGGGCGGTGAGCAGGCGGCTCAGCTCTTCTTGCGCAGCTGGCTGTACTGCGCTCGGCCCAGGATGGGCTCCATGACGCTGGGCCGGAAGAAGCTGTCGCTAACCCGGCGCGTGGGCTTCTCGCGGGACATGGCCGGGAAGGCGGCGCGCGGCAAGGTGGCCGCGTCCACCCGTTCCTCCGAGCCCGGGCCCCGAGTGTTTCGCAGGCTGCCGCGAGGCGGCGCAGGGCGCGGGGCGGGCTCCGGGCAGGCGGGCGGTGCCCCGGACCCTCTGCGCTCCGCCTCCCGGCACTCGGTCTCAGCCGGAGGGTTGTCGATGTCCCGGAATTCGCTCTCGGGCTCCATCAGCGACAGCCTGGGGAGCTGAGGGCCCGGCAGCCACGTTAGGGCCCTCGGCTTGGCCCTTGTCCCTGCACCTCCCACCGCCCCGCGGTCACGCGCGATCCGGAGGGCACAGGCTGGGGTGGGACGGGGATGGAGGATGCAGGGGAACCTGCCAAGGACGGCCACCCCTGCCGGTGTGCAAAGTGCGGACCCCCAAGGCAAGGCAGACAGCCACCCTCTAGTTCCCGGACCCCGGGGTCCCCCTCAGAGGTCCCTCAGTGGGAGGTCAGGGACTTTCCTGACCTTTCCTTGGCCCAATTCCGTGAGCTAAGGACAACCCACACCTTGCCCCTGCCTGTGTCAGGGTACCCACATCTGGCTCCATTTTGGGTCCAAAGTGAAGAGAGCTCTCTGCCAAGACCCCTGTTTAAGCCTCTTGGTGAGAATGAGACTAGTAACCCATTCCCCAGCCCTACCCTCCCAGCCCTCCCACCCTCAGCTTGAAGGGGCCTCCTGCTCTGACCAGATCTCTAGTGCCTGCATGACCTGTTAACTTGCTCTGGGAAGGGACACAGGGACCCCCAAAGTGATAGTAGGCACCCCCTGGGGTTTTCCTGCTAGGAACAGGTATTGGAATTGGGATGGGGACAGCTGCTGTCCCCTGGAACACAGCCCACCCCCCAAGGGGTCCTGGAAGCCTCCCTCCAACATGTGCCCAGGGAGCAGCATGCAAACCTGCCAGGCCCCTCAGCTGGGAGCTGAGGGGTGAGAGCTGGGCCACTGGGGGCACCAGACGGATGACTGATGACAGCTGCAGGTAGGAAGGATGGGTGTGGGCCAAGGCCACCGGTCTCTATATTCTTGGGGCTGCAGCGGGCCCCAGTCAAAACCACAGGATGTCAGAATGTTTCTGGGGCACCGAGGATCAGAGGCTAGGGAAGGGAGAGCCGCTGTCACCCCTTCAGCCTAATCTGCTTTTCAGGGGGTGGGGGTGGGGGGCTCACCGGCACGTAGTGCACCACTGTGCCCACCACGTTGTCAGTAACACCCTTCAGGGCGTCAGACAGGGACATGGCCCTGCCCTTGCTTGAGGAAGTGGCCTGGGCCGGCGTGGGGTGCAGCATCCTCCCCGCCGTGGCCAGCACAGCCGCCGGTGCCCACATCACGACTGAGACGGTGCTCTGGAGGGCCTTCTGCAGGGTGTGCACCACGCTGCCCAGGAGGCCCTGCGGGTCGGGCCGGGCTGCTCCCTGGTGACCAGAGCAGGGTCAGTGGCTCCACAGCAACTCCCCTGACCCGTCCCCTCCTCACCATCCCCGGAGCTAGAGGCGGAAGAATCTGGACACTAAATTGGAAAAAAAACTATTGGCCTGGCTCTTGGCCAGGTCACCTCTGCGCTCTGAACCTCAATTTCTTCATCTGCAAAACGGGGATGACAGTCTCTGTCCTGCCTATTTGATGGGGTTGTTGTGAGGATCTGCGGGGAGAACTATGAGCCGGGTGCTCAGGGGTGAGGGGAAGGGGGCTGCACCCACGCACACGTCCCTGGGCCTGGGGGCAGAGAGCCTTGTGTCAGCCCGTGCCTCTGCTTCCCACCCCCTCAGGGGTTCCTGCACACGCCCTCGGCCTGCACTCTCCCCTGTACCTCACTGAGCTTGCTCTCCTCGGCCTCCTCCTCCTCCTCCTCGGTCTCCTCCCCCTCAGTGTCCGTGTGGTCCTCGTGATTTTCCTCCTGGGCGGCCGTGAGGCTGCGCAGCCAGGGCACCTGCACCTCGCTCCGCCGCCGCGACACCACCTGCATGGCCGCCGACGCGCCCCACTGGGCCAGGCTGCTCTGAGGGCGGGAAGGCGGCGGTCGGCTGGCTTCACCGCCCCTGCCAGAGGCCAGGCAGCCCCAGCAGGCAAAGCCCCGCATCCCCAGGGTCAGGGTAGGGGAAGGCGAGCAGGGCCTGACCCCAGCGGACTGTTCCAACTTTTTATGGAGTGATAACTTACACCCACTGAGGTGCGCACGGCTTTAGTGTACAGCTCTGGGAATTTTTAAAAACATATGTGAGTGTGACCAGCACAGATCAAGATAGAGACCATTTTCAACACCCCAGAAAACTCTGTGCCCCTCACCCAGTCAGTACCGCCTCAGGGGACCACATACTGGCCTCCATCACCAAGCATTAATTCTGCCCGTTTGTGAATGGACTCACACGTGTTTTCTTTCATGCATAGCTTTTGTTCAATGTTATGTTGTAAGATTCACCCACATTACCGAGTAGTTCCTCCTTTTTCATTCGTATCACACTCCACTGAATAAATATACCAAAATTTACCTAGTCTACCGCTGATAGACATTTGTGTTGTTTCTAGTTCTTAGCTAAGGGTAAAGCTGATAGTAGCATTTCCAACTAGAGTGAGAAAAATCAAGTGGGCCAGAGGGTCCCATGGGAGGACACCGGCCTGGGCGGGTGGGCAGGTGCCGCTGAGGCACAGCCCAGCTCACTGCAGACCCCCAGGGGGCCCCACAGACAGTCTCCTTGTTATACAACCTTAGGGGACACCATTATTTTCTGTGTAAATGGTGGTGTCTGAGGTTGTGCTGTAGAGTGGCCTCTGTCTGCTATGGGCTAGGCTAGGGCGCAGGAGTTAGTCTAGCCCCCATGGGGAAGTGACCCCCAGTGCAGGGAACAGGGGAGAACTACTGCTCCCTACAGGGCCAGGCATGTGGTGGGCTCTCAGCAAACATTTGCTGGAATGAATGAGCCAGGTTTGACAGTGCTTTTAAAAGTACCACCCTCATGATGGCTGAAAAGTGGTTATCTTGTTCACTGACCTTTAAACTGTTATGTTTTTATTTCCTTTTTTAGTGGGGGCAGGGGGCTTAGTTTCTTATTAAAGTTCCTATGAAAAAAATCCAGGCTATCCCTGCTAAAATACACAGAGAATGTGGTGTGGGGGGGAGTAAGCCCTGTCTGGGGCTAGAAAAGACAACTTTACCAGAGGTGAAGTGGGATGCCAATTAGAAGCCTCTAGAAGGGAAACCAGAAGCCTGGGGGCAATCAGGGATATGGCCCAGCTGGGGGTCTCTGCCCCACAGGAGGGCTTTGGTGCCTTGCACCTTGCTTATTCAGAGGTGACACTCCCTAGTGTCTACAGAGAAGATGGGTGGGGGGAGGTCTCTGATATCTCCCAAGAAAGTTGGGGGATAGAGTGGAACCTAGAGGGAGAATGGGAGAGACAGAAGGGGGTGGGGTCGGGCAGGATGATCCTAACAAGCAGGCTTGCCCTCTTCTCCCCTTGCATCCTAGAGGGTTAGCCCTCCACCCCACCTAAGGTCTCTTATCCTCAGACCTAATATTCCACCCACCCCCCACCCCAGCTGGAAGACAGGATGTTCTCAGGACAGGAGGTGGAATTGGATAGGGGATGGGAGGGAACAGGAGGTCCGCAGGGTTCCAGGCCATGGCAACTCGGGGCAGACACTCACCAGAGGCGCCACACCTGGGATCCACATGGCCAGGGCCTGGCCCTGTTTCAGTGCCCGGGCTGTGGTCTGGAAGGTGTGTCTAGAGAGAGTGTTGGCCAGGGTTCCAACCCTGCTCACGAGGCTCGGCTTGGCCTTGGGAGGTTTCTGGGCATCCTGGAGTCCTGGGGCAGGGGCTAGGTGGGAGTTGCAGGGGGAAGGAGAGGAAAGCAGATCAGAGAGGGGCTGGACAAAGCTGGGTGGTGTCTAGGGTTGGAAAAGGATCACCCTACTCCAACACAAGCTCACTGGAAACTTGAGGAAGTCACTTTCTCCACTTAAAGATGGGGAGAGGGGCCAAATGAAAGTGGAGGCCTCTGGGAATCCTGCTGGGCCCTCCCTGCTCCACAGCAGTGGCTGCGTGCCCAGTCACTGCAGTCGTGTCCAACTCTGTGACCCTAAGGACTAAACCCATCAGGCTCCTCTGTCCATGGGATTCTCCAGGCAAGAATACTGGTGTGGGTTGCCATGCCCTCCTCCAGGGGATCTTTCCAACCCAGGAATAGAACCTGTGTCTCCTGCATTGCAGGTGGATTCTTTAACCTCTGAGCCACCAGGGAGAGCAGTGGCTAGATGAGCCCTGGCTGCCTCTTCCTAATCCCCAAGCAGCAGGGCAAGGGTGGGGGGATCTCCCTTTCCAGCACCCCCCACAATGGCAGATACCTGACTCTTCATTGGCTGGAGGGAGGAGGAACTCTACCATCTTCTCAACACCACCCAAGGCCAAGTCGGCCCCTCCAGAGGCCAGCCGGCCAGCTCGGGTGTTGGCGGCGTACTCGGCAGTGTCTCTGGCCATCCCCCAGGCGAGCTCACAGCCAGCCAGAGCGGCCCCTAGGACTTTGTCTGAAGTGCTGGCAATGGGCACGCTGATGCTGTTCCTGGCGCTGCGAAGGCGGGTGGAGATGGTGTCCTTCAGCTCAGAGGCGATCTGGTGGAAGCGGGGATGGGGAGTCAGGCGTGAGGCTCTGGCAGGGCCTACATCCCGCTTCAGGAAAGCCTCATTTAAAGGCCTAGGGGACTGGCGCCAGTATTGGGGCACCTTGATTAAGCTGAACTTTAAAGGGAAAGGGCTCCAGTCCTTTCTGCGCCAACTACTTAGATCTCCTGGCTTCTCTGCACCCCATTTTTGCCTGTCGAGATGCTAATCACCCTTCAAGAATCACCCCAGTGACCACCTTCTTGATAACACTTGTCCTCATATCCTTAAGGCACCTCCTCCACTGTATCTTCTGTCCTGACCCCAGAGCGCTCCTCACATTCCCATCTGTGCCTAGGTGAACGTACGGATGTGGCTGGCCTTCATACAGGTTCTGCACTGAAATAATGTCTTTCTCTCCTTTGACTTTTTGCCTTTTAATACTGTTCCTTGGGTTCCTGAATATTCCTTGGAAGGACAGGTGCTGACACTAAAGCTCCACTACTTTGGCCACCTGATGCAAAGAACCAACTCATTGGAAAAGACCCTGATGCTGGGAAAGATTGAGGACAGGAGAAGGGAACAACAGAGGATGAGATGGTTGGATGGCATCACTGACTCAATGGACAAGAGTTTGAGCAAACTCCAGGAAACAGTGAAGACAGGGAAGCCTGGTGTGCTGCAGTCCATGGGTGTCAAAGAGTCAGACACAACTGAGTGACTGAACAACAACTCCTTTGACTTGGGAGCTTCTTTGTGACAAAGGCTTTGCCCTTTATCTGGAAAAATAAGTGAACAGCAAGGCCTCAGAGCTGAACAGCGCTGCTCTCCTGTGGCCTCCACTTCAGGCTATGTGGTCGGGGGAAGTCACTAGTTTTCTCTGTCAAATGGGGATACCACCCCTATCCCAGAAGGTTGAAAGTGTTAGTCGCTCAGTTGTGTCCGATTCTTTGTGACCCCATGAACTGTAGCCTGCCAGACTCCTCTGTCCATGGGATTCTCCAGGCAAGAATACTGGGGTGGGGTGCCATTCCCTCCTCCAAGGGATCTTCCTGACCCAGGGATCAAACCTGGGTCTCCTGTATTACAGGCAGATTCTTTACCATCTGAGCCACCAGGGAGAAAGAGGATTAAAGGAGAGGACTCTATAAATCACATATCATGACTCCTGGCATAGGATAGGGCTCACTCAGTAAATGTGAGATGAGTGGTAGTTTATCAGTGAGATGGATGAGGTCTGAGAGTGAAATGTATTCCCCTAAAGCACCAGACCTGGCCCTTACCATGGCAAATACCCAATGAATAGGTATCCAGGTGAAATGACTTTTTCAATCTCATGTAGGCCCATGGGGTATCTCACAGAGGAGGGATCAGAAGCAGTGGCCCCCACCCCAAGCTCCTGTATGAGTCTGCCTCTGGCCTGTGCCTGCTGGTTTCAGAAAGCCTGCCTTCATCTGGTCCCACAGGGAGAGGAAGAAGCCTGTTGTGCACTTTTGGGGGCAGGCAATGGCCACCAGCCTGGAAAGGCATTTGCCACGCCGTCCTGCATCATGGGCTCATGCCTGCTCCTCTGCTGAGAGGCAGTGACAACCGAAGGTGGAAGTGCTGGAGAAGAGGGGAGGAGCTCACCTTTTCAGGAGGATACTGGAGGGCGGGGATCTTTTCCTCCAGGTGGTCCAGGCCTCGGCAGGCCAGTTCGTTGGCAGTTACGACTGGAAGCAAAAGGCCATGGTGGGGTGAGCCCTGCCTTCACTGTGAGGACCTAGCAGGGGCCTCTGTGCCGAGTAAGGCCCCTTGGAGCCCTCAAAACCCCCAGCCCTGCCACCTCCAAAGCACCGGGCAGCCGGAGGCCCTCTGCCACGATTGGCTTCCATCCACTGTGACTCCTTGAGACCAGGAAGTCTTCCCTCTGGGTAGAAGCTCTGCAGTCATGCAGACCTGTTCTGAGCCTGGCGCCTGCGTCTGCAGTGTGACTCCAGGCAAGTCACAACCTGGCTGAGCCTCAACTTCCTTATTTGTCAAGTGTTTATTAATGTGGACAAACCCTGCAGGGTTGTTATGAGGAGGAAGTGACAGAACCTATGGGAATCACCAGCGGATCTTGGTCTCTCGGTCTCCTATGACCCCTGTCTGGGTGAGCGCTGGGTGAACAGGACAGGGGAAAGCAAAAGTGGCAGAGGGGAAGGAAAGGCAGTCAGGCCCTAAGGGAAGACCTTGGTGGGAGCTGGCCTCGTACCACTCAGGTCCAGAGATGACAGCTGGTCTAGAGTCCCAGATGGTCCGTGGCCCTTCATTTTAACCTTCAGGAGTGAGATGGTAAACAGTGGGAAGAGGGTCACAGGAAAGAGAAAGGGGCAAGTGACAGAGGATGCCAATGCTGCTGAGGACATCAGCTCTGCGCCCATGATCATGGAGATCACAGTTTCAAAGGATACCTATATCTTCTCTTTCACATATTCTTTCTCCAGGTATCTTAGGTTTTCACAAAATTCTCAAGCAGCAGAGAGAGCCCAGATGAGTCAGCTGACTTCTGATATTGGGCCAAACGAGACCCAGGGAGATTATTTAAGGAGCTTGCAGGCAGGGAGGAGGGCCCAGGCCCAGGCCCAGGCCTTCTTTGTATCTGTCCTCTCCTGTTTGCTGTGCTGAATCCACAGGTACCCATAACTCTCTTCAGGATGGTGGAAAGTCCTAGACTGCTGGAATTTCCCTCAGTCCTGTCAAGAGCTGTGCCAAGGAGACCATATTTTCAAATAAGGCAGAACAAATTGAACAGGGGCAGACCTGGTAAGCTGTCCTCCACCTTCAGGTCCCTAGCTGGCAGCTCTCTTCTGCTGCTGCCTGTCATGGGACCAGTACCATCAGCTGCAGGACCCAGAGGGCTTCCCCTCTTCCTCCACTCCCCCCAGCCCTGCCAGGCCAGCCCTCCTGCCCACTGGCTCTGTGCCAGACTCTTCCAGTTTCTGCTGCTGCTGGATCTGGAGCTAAACTGTGTGTCTGGTCTGCTGTATGCCCCACACCCCCCACCGTGCACCCCATAACTCTGTCCACCCCTTCTCCTGCCAATTATCATCCTGGGAAAATGCCAACTGGATCAGAGATGAGGCATTATAGATGAGATGAGACCTATGTCTATATCTATCTCTCAGTAACGTGCTTGCATGCTAAGTCTCTTCAGTTGTGTCCGACTCTTTGTGACCCCATGGACCACAGCCCTCCAGGCTCCTCTGGCCATGGGATTCTCCAGGCAAGAATACTGGAGTGGGTTGCCATGCTCTCCTCCAGGGGATCTTCCAGATCAAGGGATCGAACCTGCGTCTCCTGTATTGGCAGGCAGTTTCTTTACCATTAGCGCCATATATCTACATCTAAATCATCTGTATCTATAAATGAAACAACTATGTAATGAGATATAGAGTTAGGAAGGTAGTCAGACACAAACAAAAAGGCATCAGACAAGCTGGCTATCAGACAGACTGGCAGACAGGTAAAAGACTGGCAGGCAGTCAGCCTCCGAGTGCCACGAGGACTCACACTGGGTGGACAGCCTGCGGACCACTGGCTCCATGCTCCAGGCTGCCAGGCTGCTGGCGCCCTGCACGCCCTTCTCGTAGGCATTGCATACAGAGGCCACCAGGGGGTGGGCTTCCTTGGTGCTGGCATAGGTCTTCTGGAAGCACTCACAGGTGCCGCTCACCACCGGCAGCTGCAGGACCCGCTGAAGCACATTCTCCTGCTCCTGGCATGGAAGGAAAGCAGCGAAAGAAATCAGCCCACCTCCTTCTCCTACATCCTGGGGAGGCAGTCTCAGAGCTGCGGTGCCCACTAGCGCTAGCCTGGGTCCAGGTGACCTAGGAGGAATCCAGAATAGAGAGGCCTCTGCAGGCCCCACAGGAAACATAAGAGCCGGGCAGCCGCGCTCTCCTGGTCATAGTCCTGGCTCTGGAGAGCTCCTGGGGCAGCCTCCATCCTCCAGGGGCCATCCCACCCTGCAGCCACTCAACCTGAACTTCATGACCAGGAGTGTGCCGGTGCACCTGTCTAGAGCTTTGGTCCACCGTGGATTGGGAGCTTCACCTGAACATCTTTCGGGTCTTTCTGGGACACACCTCCTTGCCTCCAGTGCTGGTCCCACTGCCTGGGGTGCGCCCCTTCCCTCCCACAGTCCTTTCTGTCTGGCGGAAGACACAGCTTGAGCATCATTTCTCCTGAGAAGCTTCCCGGCCCTCCCTCACGTCAGAAGTCACCACCTCCCTCCCTGGGATGTGTCCGCACTCAAACACGGTGCTGTGCTGGTGCTGACCACCTCTGCACTCGGCTCCATCACAGGAGGCCCTCACCAGTGTGTCTCGGGGCCTCACCCAAAGCCGCCAGTCATATTAGCTGAATAGGTGACAGGGCTGCACCTAAGGCGTTCAGATCTGCCCAACTGGACAGAATGACAGAATCCTAGGCCTCCAGGGGCCTCTGAAGCAAGAGTGCTCTTTCCACATCCCTCTGGGAGGCTTGCATTTGGACTTCTCCTCGAATGGAGCTTACTCCTCGTAGAGTGGCCTATGCCCCTCCTTGGACAGCGTGGCTGAACCGGCATCCACCTCCACCCACAGCTCCACCCGCTGCCCTGTGGAACAATGCTGAACACATGTATTTCATCATTCATGGGCTGGCCTTTCACACACTTTAAGATAAGTATCTCTGTCTTTAGCAGTTCCTTCTGTATTCTAAATAGCTCTAGTTCCTAACTTAGCTTATAAATGACTCAGTGCCCTGATCTGCTAATTCCATCCTCTGCACACACTACATCTGGACATAGCCTTTATAGCACTCAAGCTTGAAGACAGCATTCCAGGTGTGATCTGAATGTGTGGGGTCCAGTGAGACATCACCTCTCATTACTAGGATGCTGGGCTCTTATTAATGCATTCTAACTTTGGCAGCAGGCACATAATTAAACTTTGGATCAGCTAGGAAACTTACTTAAAATAAAAAAAAGTGGTCTTTGAGTAAAAAATAAAATGCAGATTCTAATCTTGCAGAGAGACAATATTTACTCAGTGCCATTATGCTCCAGGCACTGATTGAGGTGCTTCAGTAACATAACCTCATGTAACACTAACAGCAACCCTCTGAAGTCAGCACTGTCACCAGCACTTGCCAATGAAGAGACAAAGACTCAGAGATGTGAAGTGACTTACCCAACAACACACAGCTAATAACTGGCAGAGCCAGGCTTCCAACTCAGGCCTGAAATTGCAAATCTGTGATTTGTTTAAAAATAACATAAGATGGGTGAAAGGATGGGTGAGGAGAAGGCAGTATGTCCATGGGATTCGGTTGCTGGGGCTAGTGAAGGGTATTGTATTTTTCTGTCTCTTCTTAGGAATATTAGGAATTCTCCACATAAACATCCCAAGTCTGGCTCAGATGTTCAGGTTCTTTTTGTAGTTTTGAATTTGTACTGCTACATAGTTTTTCTCCAGAGGGGAGGACCTAGCTTCTTCTGTTTGTAGGAGACTTGCATGTACACCAGACCGTAGGCTACAATATTTCAGATTTTGGTCTTGCAGATGAGATTCTTAACAATTTGAACTAGATTCTTGAAAATTTGAACTAGAAAAAGGTTATAACTGTAAACAAGAAAATTTTTCTTTAACATTTTGGACGAAGCCTTCGGGAGTTGATTTAGGCAAAGCCAAAGAGGGAGAGAGGTCCTGAGATGGAAATACACTACCCTCTGTTAGGATGGCTTAACTATGCACGTGACCATTTTATGCCTCTCTATGTTCTATGATCAAATACAACACATGGCGATTCCTAGTGCAAAGGTTAGTTAAAGCCTAACTCGGGACAAGATGGATATTATACGGGCTCACAATTTTCCAGTTTCATTATTTGAACTGTGCCTAAGATGGAGAGGCCTTGCCAGGTGGCATCAGTACACCTAAACATGTAAAACCTCCCTGAGTCATGCTGAAGACCAGGCTAGACACAGTACTGGACACACTGCCCCTGTAGCCCCTTCTCACATACATAACGTGTGCTGTGTAGCTCTAAGAGGTGCCATTTACATAAACTAACATATCCAAGATGGCTCTGGAGTTATAGAATGCAGAGTCTCAGTCCTGAGAATTCAGTTTTGCCTGGATGGACAAAGTATGGACGTCTGTGTCAGGCTTTAGAATATAGTAGTTCCCTTCCTCTCCTTGTCCCCCACCAGCCAATTTTTTCTCCAAGGTGCTTAGCTTTTAATAGGCATCATTCCCTACCCCTCCACATTCTCTAACAGCCTCCTGCAAAAGCAAGAGTAATGAAGATGTAATGGTCAATGAATTATGAATATAACCTAGACATATTTTGCTCTAAGCCCCCAGAGCCCTTCCTCCCAGCTCCTCCCTCCCACTAAAGTTGTCTACTGCTTCATATAAGCCCAAGTTACTTACAGGGAGGTCTCCATCCAGCAAGGTGGGGCCCTTGTTGACTGCCATTGGAGCTCTTCAAGCTGCAAAGCAGAAGGTTTTAGGTCCATGAGAAAGTCCTCAGCCTGAGATCCACAGGGTCAGTCCCTATCCCTCAAGGCCATCAAGGGGACCCAGGCTTCAAGTTCCCTGAAGAGAAGGTATTTGGAGGATGAATGTCACAGACAAGTAGTCAGTCCTTAGAGTCCCACAAGGATGAGGCCTGGCAGCCTACTTGTTGAGACCAAAGTTTCTTTTAAGTATTCAGGGTAAGAAACAAAAAATGAAAGTAGCTTCTAAGAGATAAGAGGTTTTAGATGAAGTTTAGGAGCTCTTAGATGAGGGTCCAAGAGACTAAAAGAAAGAGTTTCAGGTTTAATCTTTTGTTTTTTTTAATGAAAAAGTTCTGCATTAATTCCTCTCTTTTTAAGCAAGCATAGATGCCAGTCGTTCCTCTGCTCAGCCAGATAAGAAAGTAGCCATTCATAAAACCAGCAATTTCAGTTGTGTTCTGGAAAAACCAGTGGCTGCAGAGTATTTACATTCTTGGTCATTCACCTTCAGTAACCTCTCCCTCAGGGGTTTCCCTGCAGGCCTCTTCATCCTCAGTAAAATTCCCAGAAGAACCTTACCCTCAACTTCTTTACTTCTCAGAAACCAACCAGGTAAGGTTGTCTCGGGACCCCCACACTCACTCCAGCTGATGCTGTCTCGGTGCCACAGAGCCCAGGCTGCTGGGTGAGTGTCTCGTCTGGAGGAAACAAATCCAATTGCTCTTGAGCAAAGCTATTAACACCTCCCAGCTAGAGGAGGGCAGAGAGGAAGAGAAAGGCCCGTCAGCCTGTTGTCATGGTTATTTGACCCAGGGTCCCCTGGGCATATCCTGCTCTGTAAGGAAATTTAGCCAACTAGGGGGTAGAGAGCAGGGCTGAAGGAAAACCAGACTCAGAGGAGTTATTATTCCTGAGCAATGAAATATCTGCTCCGTGACCCATTTCTGACCCTCACTTCTCAAAAAAGCTGTTTTCCAAAAAGAAGACGTTGGGGTATACGTCATTAAGTTCATAACCTCTAAAGTTTTATAATCTTTGACTCCTTTTCCATAGAGGGTCCTGTGGAATGGTTTTCAATCCATTTCCCTCATCCTTATTTTTTACTATCAAGAATGACTTTTGAACAGTAAGATTTAAACCCACACAGGAACACAGTTTACCTGAACATGTTAATCTTTTGATTGTAAAGATAAATTACTCTCATTGAAAAAGATAACCAGACCTGGGGTAGATTCCTTGACAATCTAGGCTTTAACAGAGCTATTTCAATCTCTGTAAATCCCAGATTTCCAGAAAGTTTACTGAACTCTACCAGGTTTAAGATGCCACCAGAATATGCAGTGAGAAAGCCAACTGGATTTTGTCAAGTCTGGAAAAGACAATGTTGACCAAGATTCAGTTACTGATCAGCAGCATCCAGACAGCCACTGATCACCTCTCCTCCCTTCCTTAGTAATGAATTAGACAGGACCCCAAGAGCTAATTCCTGGCTGCAGAGATGATGGAGGATTGTGGTGTAAGCCATAGTTTTCAGATTATCTAAGAAGGCTTTTTAATTAACATAGGTAATAGGACAAAACTTATTTCCCTTATTTTTTGCAAAATTGTACCTACTGTTGGCTCTCTGCTAAGCTGTGTACTGTGGGTAATCAGAGAAAGAGGCAGCAAGTGGAGAGTAATGGAGATGTGTGATAGATCCTCTGTAATCAATTCTATGTCTAGGATATGATAAGGCAGGAAACTAGAAGTCAGGAAGGGGAGGAAAGAGTCAAATGGAGTCTCCAAAAAGAATAATAAGTATGTGATACCACCCATTTATGATAAAAACTCTTCAGAAAGTGGGTTTAGAAGGAACCTACCTCAACATAATAAAGGATACGACACATAACAAACATACGACACACCTACAGCTCACATCAAACTCAATGGTGAAAACTCTAAGGTAAGGAACAAGACAAGGATGTCCACTCTAGACACTTTTATTCAACACAGTTTTGGAAGTTCTAGCTATGGCTATTAGAGAAGAAAAAGAAACAAAAGGAATCCAAATTGGAAAAGAAGTAAAACTGTCTGTTTGCAGATGACATGATACGATACTTAAGAAATCCTAAAGATGCTGCCAGAAAACTACTAGCACTCATCAGTGAATTTGGTAAAGTTGCAATACAAAATTAATACATAAAAATTTCTTGCAATCCTATACACTAACAATGAAAGACCAGAAATATAGATTACAGAAACAATCTTATTTACCATCACATCAAAAAGAATAAAATACCTAGGAATAAACCTACCTAAGGAGGCAAAACTATAGGATACTGATGAAAAAAATAAAAGATGACACAAATGGAAAGCTATACCATGTTCTTGGATTGGCAGAATCAATATTGTGAAAATTACTATACTATCCAAAGCAATCTACAAATTCAGTGCAATCCCTATCAGATTATCAAGGGCATTTTTCACAGAATTAGAACAAAAAATTTTACACTTTGTATGGAAACACAGAAGACCCTGAATAGTAAAAGCAATGTTAAGAAAGAAGAACAGAGCTGCAGGAATGAGGCACCCTGACTTCAGACTATACTACACAGTTACAGTAATCAAAACAGTATGGTACAGACACAAAACCAGAAATATAGATCAGGGAAACAAGATAGAAGTCCAGCGATAAACCCACATACCTGCACCTATGAGCACCTCAGTTCAGTTCAGTTGCTCAGTCATGTCCGACTCTTTGCAGCCCCATGGACTGAAATATGATAGGCCTCCCTGTCTATCACCAACTCCTGGAGTTTACTCAAACTCATGTCCATTGAGTCAGTGATGCCATCCAACCATCTCATCCTCTGTCATCCCCTTCTCCTCCTGCCTTCAATCTTTCCCAGCATCAGGCTCTTTTCAAATGACTCCATTCTTTGCATCAGGTGGCCAAAGTATTGGAGTTTCAGCTTCAGCATCAGTCCTTCCAACAAATATTCAGGACTGATTTCCTTTAGGATGGACTGATTGGATCTCCTTGCAGTCCAAGGGACTCTCAAGAGTCTTCTCCAACACCACAGTTCAAAAGCATCACTTCTTCGGCACTCAGCTTTCTTTACAGTCCAACTCTCACATCCATACATGACTACTGGGAAAACCATACCTTTGACTAGATGGACTTTAGTTGGCAAAGTAATGTCTCTACTTTTTAATATGCTGTCTAGGTTGGTCATAACTTTTCTTCCAAGGAGCAAGTGTCTTTTAATTTCATGGCTGCAGTCACCATCTGCAGTGATTTTGGAGCTCAAAAAATATAGTTTCTCACTGTTTCTGCATCTATTTGCCATAAAGTGATAGGACCAGATGCCATGATCTTTTTCTGAATGTTGAGTTTTAAGCCAACTTTTTCACTCTCCTCTTTCACTTTCATCAAGAAGCTCTTTAGTTCTTCTTCACTTTCTGCCATAAGGGTAGCATCATCTGCATATCTGAGGTTATTGATATTTCTCCCAGCAATCTTGATTCCAGCTTGTGCTTCAACCAGCCCAGCATTTCTCATGATGTACTCTGCATATTAGTTAAATAAGCAGGGTGACAATATACAACCTTGACGTACTCCTTTCCCAATTTGGAACCAGTCTGTTGTTTCATGTCCAGTTCTAACTGTTGCTTCTTGGCCTGCATACGGATTTCTCAGGAGGCAGATCAGGTAGCCTGGTATTCCCATCTCTTGAAGAATTTTCCAGTTTGCTGTGATCCACACAGTCAAAGGCTTTGGCATAGTCAATGAAGCACATGTTTTTCTGGAACTCTCTTGCTTTTTCAACGATCCAACGGATGTTGGCAATTTGATCTCTGGTTCCTCTGTCTTTTCTAAATCCAGTTTGAACATCTGGAAGTTCATGGTTCATGTACTGTCGAAGCCTGGCTTGGAGAATTTTGAGCATTTTCTATGACAAAGGAGGCATGAATATACAGTGAAGAAAAGACAGTCTCTTCAGTAAGTGGTACTGCAAAAACTGGACAATTACATGTACAAAAATGAAATCAGAATACTCCCTAACACCATACACAAAAACAAACTCAAAATAGATTAAAGACCTAAATGTAAGGCTAGGTACTATGAAACTCTTAGAGGAAAATATAAGAACATTATATCAGAACATTCTCTGATATAAGTCACAGCAAGATATCTTTCAATCCACTGCTTAGAATAATGAAAATAAAAACAAAAGTTAAAAAATGGGACCTAAGCTTAAAAGCTTTTACACAGCAAAACAAACCCTAAACAAAATGAAATGACAACCCTGAGAATGGGGGAAAATATTTGTAAATGAAGCAACCAACAAGGGATTAATCTCCAAAATACACAAATAGCTCATGCAGCTCAATATCAAAAACAAACAAATAACCCAATCAAAAAATGGGTGGAAGACCTAAATAGACATTTCTCTGAAGAAGACATAGAGATGGCCAACAAACATCTGAAAAGATTCTCAACATTGCTAATTATTAGAGAAATGCACATCAAAACTACAATTGATGATATCACCTCACATCAGTTAGAATGGCCATCATCAAACAGTCTATAAACAATAAATGCTGGAGAGATTGTGGAGAAAAGAGAACCCTCTTGTACTATCAGTGGGAATGTAAACTGGTACAATCATTATGGAGAACAGTATGGAGGTTCCTTAAAAAACTAAAAATAGAACTACCATATAACCCAGCAGCCCCACTCCTAAGCATATATCTAGAGAAAACCATAATTCTAAAAGATTCACACACCCTGTTCACTGCAGGACTATTTACAGTAGCCAGGACACAAAAGCAAGGTAAAAGTCCATTGAGAGAGGAAAGGATAAAAAAGATATGGTACATATATATAATGGAGTATTACAGAGCCATAAAAGGGAATGACATTTGCAGAGATGTGGATGGACCTGGAGGCTAGCATACAAAGTAGAGTATGTCAGAAAAACATTGTATAATATCACTTATATGTAGAATCTATAAAAATAGTAGAGATGAACTTGTTTGCAAAGCAAAAATATTTATAGAGTCACAAATGCAGAGAAGAAACTTATGGTTATCAAAGGGGGAGTGGGGTAAAATGAATTGGGAGATTGGGATTGACATATATTTATAACTGATACAATTTATAAAATAAGTAAATAATGAGAGTCTACAGTTTAGCACAAGGAACTCAGTGCTCTGTGGTGATCTAAATGGGAAGAAAATCTAAAAATGAGTGGATATATGTATATGTATAACTGATTCACTTTGCTGTACAACAAGAAACAAATAACAGCATTGCAAAGCAACTACATTCCAATAAAAATTTGTAAAAATTTTTAAATATGTGATACATTTAATACTTATTGATCCAACTTGGACTTTGAAAATATAAGACAGTAATAGAGAGAAAGGGAAGTACCTAAAGAAGTGGCCTCTGCCTTCACCTCACTTCAATGCTCAGGTCAAATTATCTGTGTGTCAAGAGAGCAACCTGGGCCAAAGGGCAGTGTGAAGACTTTGAAGTCATGGCTTTGGGCCAGAGGGAGTACAGGGCTCTGTGCCTGAAAGCTCTGTTGACAAAGCTGGCTCTTTGGCCGTGTCAGCTGGGCATCCAGAATGTGGGTGAGAAGTGAGAAGTGGTGAAAAGGGTCTAACAGAGTCCCTTGGGAAGAGTCCACTTTCCAGCAGCAGCTTGAAGGACATAGTTATTTCCTTTTATTCCCCATCCCTACATGCCCCCCCCAACCCTGTCCAACTACCCCATGAGCACAGGGACCTTGGTCATTTTGTATTCAAATGGACCCCAGATCTAAACACGGCACTCAAACATTTTGTTGTTGAGTAAACAAATTCTAGGCAACAATGTTCAGTTGTGAATGTGCTGGTCTATACATCTAAGAAATGTCTTCAGACAAATATTATATGGTATCACTTAGTGGTAAGGAACCTGCCTGCTAATGCAGGAGACATAAACAATGCAGGTTCGATCCCTGGGTTGGGAAGATCCCCTGGAGGGCACGGCAACCAACTCCAATATTCTTGCCTGAAGAATCCCTTGGACCGAGAAGCCTAGCAGGCTACAGTCCATAGAGTCACAATGTTGGACATGACTGAAGTGACTTAGCATGCACACACATATGGAATCTAAAAAATAATACAAACAAATTTATATACAAAAGAGAAACAGACTTACAGACATAGAAATCAAACTTATTGTTAGCAAAGGGGAACACGGGTAGGGATAAATTAGGAGTACGGGATTGACAGATACAAACTACTATACATAAAACACATAAATAAGTATTTTCTGTATAGCACAGGGAACTATATTCAATGTCTTATAACCTATAATGGAAAATAATCTAAAAAATACATATATATCACTGATTCACTTTGCTGTACACCTGAAACTAATAATATTGTAAACCAGCTATACTTCAATTTTTTTAAAAAGAAAAAACAGAAATACAGTTTTTAAGAATACCTACCATTTGAGGTGAGGTTATGAGGTAAAAGAGCAAACAGGTGAGGGAGATTAACAAACTTCTTACAGGTATAAAATAAATGTGTCACAGGTATGGAATGTACAATGTGGAAAATTTAATCAATAAATATATAATACCTTTATCTGGTAACAGATAACTAGATTTATTGTGGTGATCATTTTGAAATGTGTAGAAATATTGAATTACTATGTTCTGCACCAGGAAATCACACTGTGCTGTAGGTCACTTTTACTTCAAAACCAAACTCATAGAAAAAGAAATCAGATTTGTGGTTATCAGAGGCAGGGGATGGGGAGAGGGGTATCTGGAAGAAGGCAGTCAAAAAGTACAAACTTCCAGTTATAAAACAAATAAGTACTAGGGATGTATGTACAACATGATAAATATAATTAACACTGTTGTATGTTATTTATGGAAGTTCTTTAGTGAGTGAACCCTAAGGGTTCTAAATGTATGGAAAATTTTTTTTCTATTTCTTTAATTTTTTATCTATATGAGATGATGGATATCTACTAAACTTACTGTGGTGATCATTTCATGATGTATGTTAAGTCAAATAATTATGCTGTACACCTTATACAGTACTGTGTCAATTATATCTCAGTAAAACTGGAAGAGAAAAAAAATATCTTTGGTTTTTAGAATCCCTCTTGAATGAATATGGAGGATTGAAGGTGGGGATGGTTAGTTAGAAAGGAGAAAGATGCACAGGGAAGGAGGTACCATTAAGGTTTTCACAAATTCTAGAAGAGGTGGCTTTTCCCAAGCTCCCCATCACCCACTCTAACTTGCAGAGGACAAAACTAACCAAGATGGACACACTGTTAAAATGCAGTGTGATTTACAGATTCAAGCTTTTCCAGGCAGAAGCAAAAACACCACTGACAGGGATAATATATGGGACCCTCAGCAGTCTGGACAAGATTGTCTTAGAGGTCTCTTTCAACCAGTATGTTCTATACTTAAATCTTTCTTCATCCTTCTCCTGCACTTGGACCTTCCAGCCAAGAGCTTATTTTACCAGAACTCACTCTATCGACTGTGTAGACTGCTTATCTTAGGACCACCTTACTTTAACTCTTGTCCATTCCCAGAACACATTCACAGATACATGAGTAAATTTTGTCTACAGATTTATTAGACATAATTTATTACAGTAGAAGATATGGACAAAGTAAATATAGTTAATATTTTTTATTTGCTTCGATCTATCAGCTTTCATTTCTCTTAAAATTCCCAAAATGTTCTTTATCAAATCCTGTATCTTGATTGGTTACTCAAAAACTAGAGTGCCAAGTACCTGAATCTATTTTTTAAGAATCTCAATCACATTAATGGAAAATTTACTGAGTGCACATTTCTCATTGCTGTTCAGATAAATGTGATGGCTTTACTGGTAGGGCTGACACTGGCCTCTTATCTGATGCTACCCTATTTCTCTACCTCACTTGCCTCAAATTAAGAGGATCTGCAACCACAAGAAAGAACCCAACACCCTGCATGAGCAAGTGGCATCCACTCAGTATTCTGGCGTCTTCCTCACTCATAGCTCACTGCCCTTTTCCACTTTTCCCAACCACTCCACAAATGTGAAGTCTGACTTACAGAATGTTATGATCCTTCTACTTTATAGTTTCATGAAGTTTCTTAACTTCATAAATTTCAATGAAAATTAATGTATAAATGCCCATACTGTTACATGGCCTTAAATAAAACAATCCAGTTGGTGGATCTAGTTTTAAATTCTGTAGAACAGAATATAAAGCACTAGCCAACAAACGTCCTTAAAAAAAAAAAAAGGCTTTTTGTATGGGATTCTGGAGAGTCTCATACTTCTACCTAATCAGGAAGGCAGTGAAACATGGAAAGAGCACTGGATTGCGAGTCAGAGAAATGAGGTTCTGGCCTCAGTTTTTTTTTTTTTTTTTTACTATGCTAGGTCTTAGTTGTGGCATGTAGGATCTTTAATTGCAGCATGCGGGATCTAGTTCCCCAACCAGGAAATGAACCCTGAGCCCCCTGCATTGGGAGCAGAGTCCCACCCAACGGACTACTAGGGAAGCCCCTGTCCTCAGTTTTAACCTCAGCCTCCTCATCTGTCACAAACTGATCCACAGGTACCAACTGTGACTTTCCACATTATTTTTACTTCATGTCCTTTCTATCTGCTTTTTATTTGTTTTTTCTCACTGCATTACCTAAAGACACAATTTATACCATGAAGACGCCTGATACATTTCTGATTTTACTCCTGGACAGAAGAAGGACAGGAGTACAGTGATGTGAAAGGTAAGTTAAGAGGCTAGAAGGCCAGCTCTGCTCCATCCTGGCATTGACAGCTATGGAGGAAGTGGGGTAACTGACCAGATCAAGGGCCTCTACTAGATCTTAGAGAGGGCTGTGCATCAGACCTACTGGAGTTGTGCAAAAGTAGTCAGGCACATGGACTCAGTATTGTCCAACTCTGTGCAACACCATGGACTGTAGCCCACCAGGCTCCTCTGTCCATGGGATTCTCCAGGCAAGAATACTGGAGTTGGTTACCATGCCCTTCTCCAGGGATCTTCCCCACCCAGGGGTTGAACCCAGGTCTCCCGAATTGCAGTCCCTATATATTAGTGTCCACTTGTTAGTTTAGATCTTTAAAATTTTTCTCTTTCAATTTTTATTCACTTAGCAAACACTGAGCTCCTAATATGCACATAAGAGATGCTCAATAAATGTGAGATGAAGGAAAAATACAGAAAGTTAGAAGTCACTCCCGCACTCTAGAAAACATATAAATCTTCAAGCTCTCCCCTTCACCATCCGTGGCCCCACCTCTGTTCACGTCAAAGTCACTAAATGTTCATGTGAATAAGTTCTCAAGCACAGTATGACACGGCTGTGCCTAGTGCAAATGTCCAGTTCACCTACAGCTTGTCTTCAAAGCAGGTACTGGTCTTCAGCCTGAAACCATATCACTGGATCTTCAGTTTCATCTGAGGATACGCTACAGTGATGATGCCTGCTACAGAGGATACAAGGCCTCCAAGGCCTATGATGCCAGGATTGGACTTATAGATCCCCAACTGGTCCAAGGGGTTCAGGATGTCACAGGAGTTCTTCACTGTGTCCAGAAACAAGGGAGGATGCCTCTTCACAGAGTGGAATAAGAGAAGAAGAAGGGACTGGAGCCACTCTGTCTCCTTGTCAGCCACACTGTACCTGAGGGGATCCTGGGATGGTGACTTCTCCCTCTTTGCCCTGTCGTGTGCAACCTGTTTCATTTGCAGGGAGACTTCGTACAGATCTCTGACCAGGCTCAGCAGAAGAGAATAGTAGTAAAAGTGGGCAGCCCACCTTCGCCATTTCTCTTGGTTAATGCCAGAGGCAAGCCCTGTACTCCTCATGAAGAGGACGGTGTCACAGATGAAATAAATCACACGGTTCAAGCTGGCTAATGTTAGGCATATGCGGGGCACCGGGTCAGTGGCACGAATGCTCTGCTGTGTCGCCTGGAGAGCATGCACCACATTGCCTAGTCTGAGCCCTGCAAGAAGAACCCACAAGAATTAACGGTTATTTAATCAGATGTAACAGGATTTTATAGGCAGAAGCCCTGTATCAGGGTGAGAGGTCAGCACTGCTTTTTTTAACAACTGACTGTCATCTCTGGCTCAGTCTTTGCTCAGGAAAGGAAAAGTACTTTACAGTAGGTTAAGGACACCTAAGATGATCCTGGAAGGCAAAAAAAAACAGCAACCCTTTAAACTTCTTGCCTCCATTTGAATGACTATATTAACAAATGACAACATACTTTAGGCCAGGTCAATCATAAGTGTGGGTTGTTACAATTTGCATATTACCAGCTATACTTCTTTAGAAGGAAGGTACTGCAGTAACATGAATTCCAGAATGCAACACTTTTTTTTGTTTTGTTTTCTTTTTTTTTCAAAATGCAACATTCTTTTAGAGAGTCTGATGCCTTACACTTATTTACTTTCCAGTTAAAAGACTGCTTTTTTAAAAAACACCTTCCTTGGTGGCTCAGCAGTAAAGAATCCACCGCCAGCACAGGAGACGTGGGTTCAGTCCCTGGGATGGGAAGAGCCCCTGGAGAAGGAAATGGCAACCTATGCCAGTATTCTTGCCTGCGAAATCCCATGGACAGAGGAGCCTCGAGGGCTACAGTCCATGAGGTTGCAAACAGTTGTACATGACTTAGTGACTTAACAAAACATCATCCTGCAATTTCTCTGATCCAAAGCCCCTATGGCTCCCTACTGTCAAAAAGCCAAAGTAGAGATAGCAGGATTTAGTGGATAACACAACTAATAATACTGTTATATGTGATGCCTAGTTCAATTAAATCAACCATTGACAGGTCATTTCCTTTATCAGAGCACGTAACTTGATCAGTGATGCACCAATCAATAAATATTTGTATATATTACAATCTTAAACATTATGGAGGATACAAAAGAAGTATTTTCCATACATGAATATATCTTAGACTCAGTAAATTCTCAGAAGTAGCTACCCTCAGGAAACACTGATCTCAGAAAAATGTTTGGTATTGTTTTATCAAAAATAACACAAAATATGTAATGAATAATTCAGGTTTCCAGTTCTAGATGTTGCACTAACTAGCTTAGTGACCTTGGGTAAGTCCTTTCTAAACTTCAAAGACCAGTGATTTTTAAAGTACCTTTAAGCCCCAACATTCCAAAGAGGGAGAACTTCTAATCTTGGCTTTCCACTCCATCCAGAAGAGCTCCTTTCCATCCCTCTGCTTGACAAATAAAGTCTTCTGCTCATCAAATTAGTTTCCTCATTGATCTTCCAACACAATGGTTTGCTCAGAACATCCTGAGCCTCCACTAGAGGAAACTACCCTTCAAGAATGCTCTCCCAATCCTTTTCTCTCTTGCCACACCTCAAGTTCCACCTCCTCAAAACATCTTTCTTTTTCTCAACCAACGTATTTGGTACTAAATCCTATATCATTAGACCATGTGATCTTAGTTCTTCCATAAAGCTCAGAACTACACCTACATGAGCAGATACTCAAAATGAATTAAATGAGTACAAACCACTGACTGCTTTTTGCCTTTTACATAAAAACAACCCCACAAATGACTTAAGAAAAAGTATCCATCCATTTCCTCCAGCAATCCCTCAAGAAAAAGGAAAAGGGAAAGGGGTCAAGGATATAGCTACTGTATTCTTCCAGGGCTCCCAGGAGCCAGAAGTTCATGTCAGAGATTGCCAGAACATTTTGTGATTCTAAGAACTAAAGGTGAACTAACACATTGTATGTCCCACTGGTTACGAGGAAGCAGAAAGACAAGATGTCGCACTAAATGTGAACATAGGAGAGTATTTGTGAACTGTTTGCAGCAAAATATTTCATCTTTATGGCCTGTCATTCCATGAGGGCAGCCTTACTAGTGATCTTCATCAATAAGCTTGACTGACTAGAAATTCATGACCTAGGAAGTATTTTTGTGAATTACAAGGTCTGAGGATTCTAAACCAGGAGCTACTGTCCCTCAAGGGACAGGGTACTTACATTTACGGCCAGTGCTCACACTGGATTCCAGTTTCTTGAGCTTCATTACAACCTTCTCATTGTCAGCTTTAGGCTCTAACAAATATCTAAGCAACATGCATGTGTACTGAGTGGCTCTGAAATGGAAAAGAAAAATGAGGAGAATGATTTACAAACCAAATAAAATTTGATTCATGAAGTAAGGGAAAGAGAAACATTTCTTGCCGAAAACAAAGTTTCCAAGACAATTTCTCATGCAGCAGCTCTTACAAGAGCAAAATTCTGCAACATTCATTTCACAGGGCCAAAGGGTAGAACATGTGATGAAAATGCAACACAAAGGTAATGAAAGAGAACTCTACAAAAATAGAGTGAACAATTTCTCAGAATGCCCATTGCTGGCACAGAGAAAAGCATATAGCCAAAAGAGTGAACTGCAGAAAATTCTACCTCGTGTTAAAGTCTGCAAAGATCCATATTCTTTATTTTCTCCAGTGTAAATTTCTAAAAGATTTTCAGATTTCTAGAAGGAAACTTTTACCAACTACTTAATGTGACAGGTCACACACTCAAACCAAAACCAATGAAAAGTCCACCACTGGCATACTGTTTAGCTTTTTATAAAAGAACCAAATACAGACCAACACATAAATAAGTATAGATTTGTCTTTCAAACTAATGAGCATTTTATATAAAGTACAGACTCCTGTTTATACTACTAAATATTCAATAAAGTGATTACTGTCATGAGAACAAACAGCCAAACAGCAAGGCCTTACTGACAGAAACAGAGCAAATGAAAAATTGTGTATCATATAACCAAACATCTAAATGCATTTGAAATTCTAGTAAATATAGTAGGTAGATGCCTGTTTCCTACTGTCCTGTAACTGCATCTGAATCCCCTTATGCTATAAATACTATTCTCAATAAAAATGGTGAATGTGTTACTGTGCCTGAAGTAATAAGAAACAATCTCTCTTTCTCTTGTAAGTATGTTTCCTGGCTAAAGGGCTCAAACTGGTCAAGTCAATGAATCCCTTTTTCTCAGATCTGGTCTAATAATAGGAATGTATCCAAAAACAAGACATTATTTTCTGAATGCCAGTGTATTCACAAAAGCCGTAGATCACCAAGGGGATTAGGAAATGAATACTAGAAATCTCAGATCTTAAAATAAGTATATACTAAGTACATACAATAAGTATATACTAAGCAATTATTTATTAACCAATTGATAAAATTTTAAAAATTTTAATCATTGATAAAATTTTCAGGGTATATTCTAAGCACACTAGAACTGGAGGCTTCTGTTTTAATGAAGTTTGTATATAATGCAACCATTTTGAAAATCTATCAAATTAATTAGAAAGATAGTATGGCTTGATAAGTTAAAGAACTGGGTCCTGAAGTCAACTGTGTGGTTTTAAATCTCTCAGTTCAGTCACTTAGTCCCTATTAAACTCCTTCTGCTTCAGTTTCCCCATTTCTGTGAAATGGGAATGATTTCAAGAATTTAACCTAATAGGGTTGTGTTGACAGTTAAGTGGGTTAATAGTTGTTAACATTGAGAAAACATTTTTTTTTTTTTTATTAAGCCCGCTTCCAAAAGTCTCATAATTGTTGGGGTTACTATTGATCTGTGTGTATCAGCACTTGTACACTCAGAAGAAGAAAAAACTGTTAAATAAAACTGTAATTGTGACTAATTTCTTTTTATTGAGCACGATTCAACCAAATCCCTAAAAGAAACGTTAGGAGCTAGTATTAAAGCCACAATCTCTTTAATATTTTCAGCAGCACGGCCTGCACCTCGGAAAGGTGGTCAGTTCTTTCTGAGGCTCTCCACACTGCATTTTATGGTTCACAAAACTATTTCACAGGAGGTATCTCGCTGAGATACGGATGACAAACACAATTCCTCCCCATAAGTATTTCATGGAGCTTTTCAAGATACTACCAAAGGCTCAGATGTCAACCCCGAGTTTGTCTTAAATAATTCCTTGGAGGAATATTGAGCGGAGAAAACCCACTCTTCCTGGAGTCAGGAGAGGAGGGTTCGTCGCCTGGTTTACCGCAGCGAGCGGCCCGGAGACGCGGGACTGGACGGGAAGGGAGGTGTGTTCGGCCCAACCTCATTGAAGTTAGGGTGAGGAGGGGCTCCCGGGCCACGCTACCGCTGGGAGCCGGCAGCGGCTTTCCTGGTTTCGTCCACTAGGCTACTACCGCCCTCTCCGGGTGTGGAGAACTGGGAACCGTCGACCCGGGTGAGAGGACCGGGGAAGGGGTAGAGGCCGCGGGCACCTAACTCACCTGAAGAGTCGGTCCTGGCCCTGGGTCTGGTTGGTGAAGCGGATAAAGGCGTCCATGGCACCCAGCCCAAGGACACGCGTCGCACCGGGCTCTGTCACTAGTCCTCAGGGGCGGCCGACGGTTCCCCACGGGAGCGTCAGCTTCTCCAAACCCAAGGGACCGAGTCTCCCCGCCCCCATGGGGGCGTGCACACCTTCCAAAGAGAGACTTAGTGGACTTCCGGTTGGGACCGGAAGTTGTGGTTACTACGGCGACGCCACGCTTCTGGTCCAGGTGAGAGAAACATCGGCTTCTGATCCGGGTCCCGAGGCTCCTCACATGTCCCAGGACTCCCCTCTATCTCTAGGATCTCCTAGCGGGGGATCTGAGGGAACCTGCCTCCTCAACCTCAGGCGTCCCTGGGACGCCCTGCGCCTCTCCACAGATCCTGGGTACCCAGGGGCCTCCACAGCGGAGTCCCGAAAGGAGGTTTTCCTCAACTTTTTGCTTGGGGACTGAGGCCCCTAATCACTTCCCAGCTCTGTACCTCTGTTTTCTCTTGAGCAACACCAGTTCCAGATCTGGGGAAGGAAGTGGTTAGAGCAGAGATAAGCCAATTCATGGGGTGTATTTTAGCATGAGAGCTAGGTAAAGTGAGAGAATTTTCTGTTAGGATTATTGAATGAACACTGAAAGAAGATTGCTCCTTGAGGGAATTCTGAAAAAGGGTTAATATGAAGGAAGTGGGGGCTAAAAGAGATTACAATAAAACTACACCACTGAACTTTCCTTTTTGAGGCTTGAAGACATGAAGCCCCACTCTTCCATAAGCAGTAATTTTATAGAGTTCTCCGGTATTATTGGACTTCCCTGTGGCTCAACTGGTGAAGAATCCGCCTGCAATGCGGGAGACCTGGGTTCAGTCTCTGGGTTGGGAAGATCCCCTGGAGAAGGTAAAGGCTACCCACTCCACTATTCTGGCCTGGAGAATTCCATGGACTGTATAGCCCACGGGGTCACAAAGAGTTGGACATGACTGAGTGACTTACACTCACTTATTGTCACAAAGTAAGGGCATCAGTTTTTTAAACTTTATTCCCATGATCAGGTTTGCCCCTCACATTTGTAGGCCCTGGGTAAAAGTACAAATAGAGACCCACAAACCATAAGTTTAAATATTTAAATTTTTAATCAAGGTAACAATTGTTGTATAAGCTATGTTCTTTTCTCCTACCTTGACAACATACCATCATAATGATCTAGAAGACCAGTTTCATATTCAGGATTCTTGGACTCCTTGGAATACCTGGAAACCCAGCTGGAATATGGCACTGTAGAGAAAGCTGATCTCTAGTTCTTTCCCAGTTGTAACAGAGCAGGATAAGCACAGCCCTTCAGTTCAGTTCAGTTTAGTCGCTCAGTCGTGTAAAAAGCTTTGTGACTCCATGGACTTCAGCACATCAGGCTTCCCTGTCTATCACCAACTCCTGCAGCTTGTTCAATCTCATGTCCATCGAGTCAGTGATCCCATCCAACCATCTTATTCTCTGTCATCCCCTTCTCCTCTGGCCTTCAATCTTTCCCAGCATCAGGGTCTTTTCCAATAAGTCAGTTCTTCACATCAAGTGGCCAAAGTATTGGAGTTTCAGCTTCAGCATCAGTTCTTCCAATGAATGTTCAGGACTGATTTCCTTTAGGATGAACTGGTTGGATCTCCTTGTAGTCCAAGGGACTCTCAAGCGTCTTCTCCAACACCACAGTTCAAAAGCATCAGTTCTTCGATGCTCAGCTTTCTTTATGGTCCAACTCTCACATCCATACATGACTACTGGAAAAATCATAGCTTTGACTAGACAGATTTTGTTGGCAAAATAATGTCCCTGCTTTTTAATATGCTGTCTAGGTTGGTCATAGCTTTTCTTCCAAGGAGCGTCTTTTAATTTCATGACTGCAGTCACCATCCTCAGTGATTTTGGAGCCCAAGAAAATAAAGTATCTCACTTTCCATTGTTTCTCTGTCTATTTCCCATGAAGTGATGGGACTAGATGCCATGATCTTCATTTTTTGAATGTTGAGCTTTAAGCCAGCTTTTTCATGCTCCTCTTTCATTTTCATCAAGAGGCTCTTTAGTTCCTCTTTGCTTTCTGCCATAAGGGTAGTGTCATCTGCATATCTGAGGTTATTGATATTTCTCCTGGCGATCTTGATTCCAACCTGTGCTTCATCCAGCCGGGCATTTCACATGATGTACTCTGCATATAAGTTAAATAAGCAGAGTAACAATATACAGCCTTGAGGCACTCATTTCCCAATTGCTGTGCCTCATTTACTGTGTACCCTGTTACTAGGCAGCAGGTCTTGCTCAGCCATTGGTCGGTGCCTCAGTGGGCCTTGCCCACAAGCAACCAACTGTCAATGAGCCACAGTTAGTGTCCTGCCCAGATACTGGTCAGCACCACAGTGGGCCCTGCCCACTGGTAACTGTCAAGAGGAACCATTGGAGAAGAGATTGAGTCAGGGGTTGGTGGTGTGGTGGTCATCAGGTGGAGAGTGAGGTAAGAGGCAGATTCAGGCTTTTTCTTGGAGGTCCTCCAGCACACCGCCTTGTGCTAGTGGTTGAGCTGGAAGGCCCAGGGAACAGATTGGGGACTATGTCCTGAGGGCTCCAGAGCCCTCACTAAGGCCCTCCACTAGCCTTGGCCCAAGGAGGAGCAGTGAACCTCTCCCCCATCCCTGTCTCTGTGACTCTCTAGCAGTGGCCATCTGTCTGGGTCACAGTCTGTGAGACCTGATCTCCCCATCTGGGTGGCCTGAGGAGCCTGAGAGCTAGCTGGGTTGGATGCCTGGTTTCCTCAGGGATGACAGCTGGGCAGGATGTGAGAACCTGGCCCCGAAGCAAGTAAACTGTACCACCTGCTGTGCTAAGCTCTAGGCCTCGGGATACAAAAAAAGAGGAAGTACAGCTCAGTGACATGTTAGATGATAAGAGATGAACATAGAGTGCTGCTAAACACAGATTTGTATAGTTTATTTTGCTGTACCTACAATTCTGCCTTTTCCACAGTATCATAAATTGAATCATTTAGTATGTAGCTTTTTTTTTTTAGGCCATACTGTGCAGCATTGTGGTACATCTGAAATCAGGGATCGAACCCATGCCCCTGCATTAGAAGTGCAGAGTGTTAACCTCTGTACCAAGAAAGTCCAGTATGTAGCTTTACTATTTGATTTCTTTCACTTGGCATAATGCATTTGAGTTTCACCCATGCTGTGTATGTATGTCAGTAGTTTGTAAATATTTAATCACTGAGTAGTATTCCATTGTATGGATGTACCATAGTTTGTTGTCTATCCACTGAAGTACATATGTGTTGTTTCCAGTTTGAGGCAGTTATAAATAGAGCTGCTATAAATATTTAAGTACAGAGTTTCATATGAAACATTTTAATTTTTCTTGCATACATATGTAGAAATGGGATTGCTGAATCCTGTTAAGTGTGTATTCAACTTTGTAAGAAACTACCAAGCTGTTTTCCAAAGTGGCTGTACTATTTCGTGTTCCCACTGATGTGAATGGGATGTGAATGTGTAGGAGTTTGTCTGTTCACCTGTTGATAAACATTTAGGTTGTTTTAAGTTTGGGGCCCCTGGAAGTAAAACTGTAATGAATGTTCATTTACAAGTCTATTTGTGGACATATGATTTCAGTTCCCTTTTATCACATCTAGGAGTAGAATGATTGGATATTGTGGTAGATGTAAATTTAACTTTTTAAGAAAATGTTAAACTGTTTTCTAAACTGTAGTGTTTTACTTTCCCAGCAGCAACTGGAAGAGTTCCAGTTTTCCTTATCTTCAACAACATTTATTATGGTCTATCTTTCTAACTTCAGGCATTCTAAAACATGGGTAGTACTGTCTCACTGTAATTATAATTTGCATTTCCCTAATGATTAACCATGAAGAACATCTTTAGTATGCCTGTTTGCCATCTGTATATCTTCTTTTGTTAAGTGTCGGTGCAAATCTTTTACCCATTTAAAAAAATTATATCATTTTCTTATTATTTTTAAGAATTTTCAAAATATTTTGAATACAAGCATTTTGCCTACAAATATTTTCTCCTAGTCTTTGAGCTACCTTTTATTTTCTTAAATGTTTTTTGAGGAGCATAAGTTTGTTTTTGAAAGGTGTAAATTATCAGTTTGTTCTTACGGAGTGTGTGTTTTAATGTCGTATCTAAGAAATCTTTGTCTGACTGAAGATTGCATAGGTTTTTCCCTATGTTTTCTTCTAGTGGTTTTATCATTTTAAGTTTTACATTTAGGCCTATGGTCTACTTTGAATTCTTGCCTGGGAAATCCAATGGACAGAGGAACCTGACAAGCTATAGTACTTGGAGTTGCAAAAGAGTCGGACACGATTTAGTGACTAAACAACTACTTTGAATTAATTTTTGTATATAGTGCAAGGTATGGATCAGAGTTCTTTTTTCCCCATATAGATATTTAACTGATGCAACATTATTTATTGAAAGGATTGTGCTTTCTTCACTGAATTATCTTTGTCAAAAATAAACTGTCCATATATGTGTGAATCTAGTTCTGTCTTCTCTATTTAGTTTCATTGATATATTGTCTTTTTTTTTTTTGTACCTCTCCATCTCCCTGACCTATCTTACATATCTCTCCATCCCCTACTGCTTCTGGCAGCCACCTGTTTGTTTTCTGTATCTATGACTATTTCGTTTTGTTTGTTCACTTGTATTTTTTTAAGTATTTTTAATTTAATTTATTTGGTCACACTGGGTCTTAGTTGCAGAGTGTGAACTCTTAGTTGTGGCATCTGGGCTCCAGTTTCCTGACCAGGGATCAAACCCAGGCCCCCTGCATTGGGAGCATGGAGTCTTAGCCCCTGGACCACCAGGGAAGTCCCTGTATTGTTTTTTTAGATTTCACATATAAGTGAAATCATATGGTACTTGTCTTTCTTGTCTGACTTATTTCACTTAGCATAGTTCACTCTAGGCCTAGGGTTAGTTGCTCAGTTGTGCCCAACTCTTTGTGACCCCATTGAC